TTAAGTGCAAAAATCGGCAGAAAATTTAACTTTTCTATAAAGCAAATTTAACTGTGGAGACGTTGATGTTGATTGTGGATTGCTTGAAATGCTTGTGAGTTGGGTCGCTAAAGCGTTCAGTGCATCTCCGAGTTACAAAGGTTAACATATAAGCACCCAAATGTACCTCCGTCGTGCCTTAAATTATTGAAATTATGCATTCATCTATTATTTATTGATTTCCCATTATGATTAAAATATTTTCTATAACTCGTCTCTGCATTTTTCATTTTCACATGCACATGGCATGCACTGCGTCTTCGAAAAGTTACATCCAATGCATATATTTCGTCCAAACCCTAACTAACACTAGCACCAGCACGTATCAGTCGCGCATCAGACACAAAAATTGGGCAATCTGTCGCAATACTAACCACCAAACTTAGTTGCAACGGAAAATTTTTGCGGTAGTGCCGCTCGCGCCGCCATACCCTCTCCCAAGAGCACACATTAGGCATGAAGGGTTAATACGAGCGAGTGAGCACGATTCGCACAAGTGATGTGCAATGAAGCGCGAAACTAAGCACCAGCAAATGTCAATTGTGTATGGAAGTAGTAAGAAGCACCGCCAGCCGTAACCAATTTGCGCTCAATCGATACCTTGTGAACTTCACTTCCGCTTGAGAGGAAGAAAGTGGATTTTCTTCACATATGTACAGCGGCAGTGTGCCGCATAGGGTTAACAGCCAGGTGAAAGGGTTCAACATACAATGGCTTGTGGATTGGAAATTCTGTCGTTAGCGCCGACGTCGTCTGAGAGGTTATTGATCGGAAATCTTTGAATGCCACTACCTTTTTGTAATATCAGATATGTACATGTGTATGTAAGTGCGCATGTGCAGACTACCTGGTGATTTTGTTTGTGTTTTTCGCAATTGATTTGCGGAGAAAGTGTCGATTGTATTGGGTAATTGTGCTAAAATTAGGGAAAGTAACAAATTTCGATGTAAGCTAAGAAGAAAGTGAGCTTATGTGTGCGTCTTACGAAGGAGCTAGAGAAGAAGTACTGTATGCGGTTATGCTGAAGCGTTTATACCTTTCATGCAGCTATCAAAATTAATCCTTATTTGGTTGAAGTGACTGCCGGAAACCAGCTCGCTTAGGTCACCAAATGGGTTCATTTTGACATCACTGAGCATCGTGATGATCAATCGCTAATCGGTAGTCAAACAACGTTTTGGAGGTTGTAAAACTGAGTAATCGTTGGTTCATCGCACTCGCTATCTCGCTCAAGTCTCCAAAAGTTGCCGCTCCTAGAGACTTCAAAATACTCTTTTAAGGTGCATGGCATTCGTGAAGAAAGTGTCTTAAAGTTTCACGTTCCTCCTTATGCCTGTAACTTCTGAAGAAATGTGGTACCCCTAACCTCCCTGCGCCTGTGCCTAGAGGGAATGGAAGACCTATGACTGTAGTTATCTCCTTCATTTTTAGTTTGATAGGGCCACGTTTGCTGCTTTGATCACGCATTGCGATTTCTCCATTTCAGTTAATATCTTGAATAAATCCTGTGATGAACTTGCAAGTGGAGCGCGATATGACCGAACTCTTCCATGCTGACGAGAGTGGTGGAGCGTCATTACCCGGTATGTTATAGTGTACAGATTCGAAGAGTACTGCTGTTGCTACAGGGCTCTTAATAAGGCCTGGACAGTTATAAGAAATAGAATTCCAAATTTTGCACTCTCAGTTGGTATTTTGACGGGGTTTTTTGCCCAAAATCTCTTATGTGAATAAATCAGTTTCATGGGGTCTATATATTAGGTGGGGTAAAAGAAATCTATTATTTTTTCAATAGATGGCGTTATTTATTTGTATCTTGCGTTGCATAAGTTTGGTCGGGTTCCGCTGGATGGTGTTATAAAGATTACATTTCGTACTAAAAAACAGTTTTGTGATTGGTTGATTTAGTTTTGTTTGTTTGTGCGTAAGAGAACTTCGAAAAAGGCGAAGAGGCAAGCCAGGCGAATGAAAAGGTGAACAGGCCAATTGTCGAAAATGTCGATAAAAACCTGGAGATGGACATTGTCGAGCACCCTGTTTCTATTGCCCAAGAGCTAAAGATTGCACAAAAATCACCTTTGAAACCATTTGAATAAGGCTGGCTACAAAAAGTAAAATATGTAGCTTTCAATTGCATGCAAAACTAATGGATTTCTTTTTATTACACCTAATATCATCGATCCAATCTGGCTCGCTCCGACAAATGATCTATACAGTGTAAAATATATTATATGTCCGCCTATCAAGCCAGGTTGAAATATCTCAAAATTTGATGGTACAAACAGACGAACAGGGAGTCAGACAGACATGGCTAAATCAACTCAGCTCGCAATGCTTATCATACCCTCATATACACTTATCCTTTTGGTACTTACATTCTGCGCACCAAAGTTAGCGTACCATTGACATGAAAGGTATAAAAAAAACTTTTAACGTAGTTACATACAAACTGAAACTAACTGAAACGGCTAAGACATATGTACATATATATTTCTCGCAATGTAAATAGAGTTTCTCGTGCCACAAAAAGCCAAACAAGGATTTGCAGATGAGGTGAATGGAAGCGACAGGATCTTATAAGTCTACGGAAGCAGCAAAAATGACAATCAGACATTGATAACAAACAGACTCAGATACATATTTATATGTATGTATGAATGTATATATTTAATTTTTTTTGTTTAAATTGCATTACGTAGCGAATCAAAGATGTATTTGTTGATTGTGCATCTAAATAGATGCGCATATTCACTCTACCTCTGCATTAATCAATTCTTTAAGACTCATTTATTTATTTCTCAGGGGTTTGTGCAAATTCTTTCTTTAATTCCCTAAATCAATAAATTTCATTTTCCTTGCAGATTTTTCTCAGCCAAGCGTACACATCTGCCGTGTAAGAAAAGTAAACCTCGCAAGAATGCTGTTGATATGCATACTCAGAGTCATATGTATGCATGTACGTGTATGCATGTATGTATCTATGTAGGTTTTCTCAATGTCCCACAATGAGCGGGCCAATAATTGCGTAGTGACATTATTTATTTATACACATCCATACATATGTACATATGTATGTAAGCAAATTTAGAAAATGCGTAAAATAATTAAACTATTGTTGAGCATAGGATATAAGGGCTCTGGCGAGGGGGGAGTATTATTAAAGGCCGCTGTAGCAGTCTGTACTAACGTCTAGGAAGTTTCTTTCATCCCCCGATTGGGAATCTCAATACGTGAGGCCTCATTTCAGAATGGAAAATAATAGCTTATCCACCATAATAGGCTGCTTAAAACCGTTAATCCATCCACTTGCATGGGAAATATCGAAACACACATCATGCAACTGAAGAGAAGCTCGGAGATACACAGAAATCCTCAGCTGCAGTTTTCAGCGGAACTTTTGTATATGAATTATATATAAATGGCGCTTTGTAACCGCTGAGGCGATTTTTCGGCCGAGCACCTCCTCAAATTTAGAGGTTTTACGTCTTGATGTTTTTCCAAACAAATGGAGGGGCCTTCAGTTTATACTAAGCCGCCACCGAACGACTGATGCTAACCAATCCGAAACCGCGGCCGCGATATATTAATAAGTGCTCTATAAATTTTAGAATCGTCACACCTTAAAGGTGGTACCAGGTAAACCTAGACCAGACTCGTGAAAAGAGGATTGACAGCACAAAAAGGAACCAAGCGAGATTTCAGACAAAACCTGTTCCTGTAACATCTTTAATTTATTGCTGAAAAAAATAATACGAGCTTCCAAACTCAATAGAGAAGATACATACCTTTATAAGAATGTACATCGGCAGGCGTACGCCGATGATATTGACATCATTGGCCTCAAAAACCGAGCAGTGAGTCCTGCTTTCTCCAGACTGGGTAAGAAAGCGAAACGTATGGGTTGGGTAGTGAAGGAGACGAAGAGTCAGTTACTATTGAAAGCCATAACTTTGAAGTCGTAGATAACTTCGCAATGCCAGCCTTGAAATCCAACGTAAATCAACAACAGGTGTTATAATATTGTACTTTGGACCGAGTAGGTCATTGAAAAGTAAAGCTCTCTCCCGACGAACGAAAACCAAACTCTACAAGTCTCCAATCGTTCCCGTTCTGCTATATGGTGCGGAAGCATGGACGATGACAGCATCTGATGAGACGGCGTTAGGAGTTTTCGAGAGAAAGGCAAATACCGCAGCCGATGGAACGATGAGCTATACAAGATATACGCCGACATGGACATAGTTCAGCGAATCGAGAAACAGCGGCTACGCTGGCTAAAGCAATCCTACTCTATATCAGTATAGAAGAAGAAGTTAAGTAAACCTTCCATCTTCAGAGCTTTGCATATATTTTTGTTGTTTTTTGCTTGTCCACGTATACAGAGTGGTCCGATTTCTATAATTTTTTGTATGATAAGGGTATGCTTTGAACGTGTTCCAATAGAAACTTGAAAAGAAAATTTTAACCAAGGGTCTCCCATTGATTGATTGATTTCAAAATATGTCCGCATATCATTGCCACGACTAAAAATTGGCGGCCGCAATAGCCGAGTTGTAGGTGTTGCTTATTGCCGATCGGAATGCCAGGATTCGAGTCCTGGTTTGGCTAACCTCCAAAATTATAGAAAATTAATATTTCTAATGACGGTCGACCTTCGGCAGGGGATGCCAACATCTCCGAGTGTATTTATGACATAAAAATCAAAGTTTCCATAAAAATCCAGCTGCCGTTCGGAGGCGGCTGAGAATAAGCTGTAAGTCCCTCTATTTGTTGGAGAAAACATCAAAACAGACGCCACAAATTAGAAGAGAAGCTCCACCGAAAATTTTTTTTCAGCGCTTATAAACAGCCAATTATACACAAGGATTAAATATAAAATTAATTATTTTTCAGTTTTTCGGCGGTTTCACTTTTTTAAATTTTTTTGTTACATTTTAGCTCTCATTTTCTCTTATAAATCTCTACATTTTTATGACAGCCTTAGTAAACCCCGTTAAATTAAACTGCCACAATAAATGCGCTTTCGTGTAGACATTAACAGTTGCAATCAAAGCCACATTCGGTAAGTAATCCGGGTAACTGGTACTAACGTCCAAGAGATCCAATACATAGACATGACGCTATAATAGACCCCATATTAGTAGTTGGAATAACATAAGTAATTAGAGTAAATATTAAATCTTGCATAAGAACTAAAACTCACCGCTGGAACGGGACATTTCTGTCGAAGGCTTCTCGATTTCAGGAAACGTTTCAAAATCGATCGTAACACTTGATTGTTCTTGCATTTTCCATCAAGAAATTTACAAACATCAAATTTCATATCTATAAAGCGGGACCATTTATTGCGAAATTGTTGTATTTGCACTTGAACTTCGGCCTCAAGAGCATGCATATCCACTCTGTGCTTGAGCGTGCCATTTAATTTTTTAATACCGTTATGCTCTACCAAAGTTACATCCAGGCGTTCTATTAGTTTGTGATCTAATATGTTTGTAGTCATTCCGGTTAAGGCTATTGGTGACTATAAGGATGGAAAATATAAGTTTTAGATACATATATATATTATATATATAATTGTAAGCTGGTGGAAATTACTATACATATGTACATACATACATACATATATTTTTAAATTTTGAAATACTTTTTTATTTATATAAACTGATTGGTCTTACCACAAAATTCGTCGACATGAGCTTGTAATAGCTGACGATCCTCAACAAAAGCACAATATTTTTTATTCTCATATTTGCAGCGAAAGATTTTAAAAAGTACTTTGACAGTGAGAAGAGCAATAAAACCTTGAATTTCCTTCGAATAGGCGCTGCGCTCATGTGGCGAATGCGGAAATAATATTTTTAGCATAATTTTAAAAAAGATAATTACGTAATCGGAGTCGAATGTTCATCAATGGTTAATAGTTTAATTGATTAGATTTTAATCCATAAAAACCAATGTACGTATACATATTAGGTATATATATATACATATGTATTGTACATTCATATATAAAATAAACTAATTTTCGACACGCAAGGCTCGATCCGCGAGAATAGTTCAGTTCTTATGTTTTTTTTTTATTATTATTTTTATTTTTTTATTTGAAAAGTATGATAAAACTAAACCTGTAGTACCTCCCTAATTTGTATGCCTTTCATGAATATGAAATTATATATTAACTTTTGTCCAAAGTATGTACATACATGTATGTAAGTTCCAGAAGAAGAAGAGACAGACCCATAAAAATGAATCAATCGGGTCGAAATGACGAGTTAAGTTGATTTAGCCATGCTTGTCTGTAGGTAGACCGTTTGTCTATCCATCGGTCTGCTTGTAAATCATTGAGCAGTAAGATTTTGTTCGAACATTTTCGAGCAGCTCATGCATTTTGGCAATGAATACTCGTTCATTACTCACTTCCCGACAATTCGAGCACGATATCGATCAATTAGATCTTTTTCGAGAATTTTGAGAGAAAAATTTGACTTTGTTCTCAGAATCCATAATCCATAATTTTAAATTAATTTTTGAAAAGTGAAAACTCACTTGAAATGCTAAAGAAATGTTGACAAGCACGTTTAAAAATTGAACAAATTTCAAACAAACATTTGAGCAGTTGAACAACGCACGAGTATCGAGCTGATCGCACTGCCTGATACCCGAGTATCTAGAGCTCTGGTTTGTATGCAATCTAGTTCCACAGTTTTTGAGATATAATATTTCAACTAAAATTTTTCAGATGCGAGCTTTCGTGACATGAATTCGTCAAAAAATAAAAAATAAATTGGTGTTGTACAATTGTGTCTTAAAATAAACATTGTAGCCTGAAAATCATCGAAATCGAACCACTATATCATACATATATGTAGCTCTCATATAATCGTTTTTTTTTCAGATATCAGGTTTTATACCGAAAATCCATCAATAAAACATCGTAAAGCTGGATATTTTGTGTTCCATGCACGTCACATACCGTTGAGTCAAAAATATATTTCAAAATTTGGAAACACGTGAAAAACTCGATAAACTCACCAAAACTAATAGCACAAATAGAGTAAAAAATGAAATTAATTAATCACATACATTTGTGTTGCTCAGCTTTAAAAACTTCAGGTTTTGTGATTACTAACGCTGAGTTCTACATGTTCGAAGAGGTGGCCTACAAGAGTTCGTTTTTCTGCTTTGACAAAACTTTCTCAACAAAAATCTTAATGAGGAATATATGGGAAAATGTAACAGCTCGGAATCAAAGAGACATGGGAACATCCGTGTGAAGCTGTTGAGCTAATCATGTTAAACTCTGCACCGGCAAGGCAAATAACAGATAAAATTACTTTCTGGGCAAAGCTAGCCAATGTTCGATACAAAAAAAAACAGAGTCTCTTCTTTTACTAAACAGAACCACCACGAGCTCAATATTAATCGTACACTGTTACTTCTCTCATTACTTCTGTTGCGACTGTAGAGATATAGACGAGGAGGAGTGGGTAGAGTACAGCCGCTGCCAGAACCTATTATTTTCTCGGTAATTTCTACTTTTACTGCCTTACAGATATTGCGTTAGAAAGTGCCAATAAACTCGTGTGTTTCATAAAACAAACCTAGTGATTGCAGCATCTAGAAGGGTTTGAATCTCTTTCCTAGGCCACTCATGGGTATAAAAAAGTGCGCTCAATAAAGAGATTCTGTGATTAAGGAACCTAATAAACTACCGAACTAGGTTCTATGGAACTTTTCAAAAATAGACGTTAGCGACTTTATACGATAGTTCTCCAGTGTGGCATTTTTTCGTAATGCTGATATTTTATAAAGAAGTTCTTCAAATATTACTTTCACATTAACCAATAACACCAGTAGGCATCATATGGAAGGCCTCTCTGTACTATACAGTCTTACCCCATTTGAGGCGCTTTATCTTACTTGGCGTCCTCTTTCCAATAAAGATATTGTTTGTCATTTATGTCTCTTTATTATCTTCACTCGCAAATTTGAAGAAGCTTCAATCTCTTGGAAATTTTTTCCCAGCTTTACGAGTATATGAAGGGTGAGTAGAAGAATTTTATTTTCATGGCGAATGTTCTTTTAGCCAGCGTTAAGCTCGCTCATTGGCCAACTCTCTTTAGGTTAGTGGCTTAAACGGTATCAACTCTACAAAAAGGGAGGGAGTTCGGTAAACCCTGAAACCCAGATTATTAATCGAGCAACATGTACCAGATTTAAACCACCTCATTAGGTTTTCATGGTGTATTTGTAATATTTATTTGGCAGAATTGACAATTGATCTTACTTTTATAAGTTCCCTTTGCACTGAATGTCAGGTGCACACTCTAGACAGGTACTTGTTCATAGGGTTCGATGCGGCACTTCTTCTGTTGTGCTGCCCCACTCTGGTGCACCATATGTTAGTATGGATCTAACCACGCTTGTATAAAACCGATGTGAAGTCGTAGGCCGCATTTCGGCGCATAGTTCTTCTGTTCAAATTCAAACCACCTCACTGGCCCTGTTCCCTCAACTGAGTTTCTTTTTATGAAGGATTACATCGAGACACTTAACACAGTTGGCTGGTAATTTAATATAATGTTAGACCTTAGAGATGGTTGATTGCATCGATGAACTTTCGTCTCTCTCAGGAAGAGAGATCTCTTATTTTTCCGAGTCTACTAAGAGTTCTCGTCTCTCAGCCAAATCAGCTGCTTTAAGCGCCCTCTGTATTATCCATGAGATAGCTGGTTGGAATGGGGGTCAGAAGATAGTATGACAAGATCATCCGCAGCGCTGTAAGCAGTTGAAGTAACTGATTTATCAAAGTGACGGACAAAAGCGGAGACAAGAGGAAAGCTTTTAGAGTGTCACATATAATTTTATAAAAGTTTTTAACACCTTCCTATGATGGCGAAGAAACAACAAAACGAATGCAACAGCTTCTCTGCAAAATACGGTCGGAAGAGATTGGTATCTAAGAGGGATCTGAGGAAAATTCAATCATATTATTTATTAGTAATCACAAGGAATCGAATTCAACTCAGTTTGATATTTTCTGTTTCAAAATGGTCTTTCCTATGCTGAGAGTGAGCCACATACTCATGTCTTTATTGCTGAGGCTATCAAATATTGCTTTGTAATATAGAAACCACTAATCAAGCCAGCTGAATATATATTAATGTATGTGAGAGTATGTTCTTGAATCTTAGGGGGGGGCGCATCTAAAAATAGCAAAATATGGGCGTCTCAAGTGAGGAGATAAAAATAATGCAGCGTGAGATTTAATTAAACACAACTCCTCCACCACCAAGACTGTCTATGCGGGCCAATCTTGCTTTTCACACGCACATGCACTTTAATAAATATAAGCAACTCTGCGCATGTCAACACGGTGTTGATGATAAATTTCAGCCCATACATACATATGTACATGCGAGTATGTATTTGAAAAGAAAATCAACTCAACAAGAAAATATTAATATTTGTGTTTGGGGCGAAACTAAGCTGAATTCGGAAGTAAAAATAACTCAAGAGTGGAGTACACAAGGCGACTGACTGACTGTGCTGCCTCCATAGCTGCACACACTCTCACATATTCTCACACACTCCGGATCGTGCTGTGCGGTTTGTGTTAGGTGTGGTTGAGGCTGTGCAGACTTCCGGTTTTCGAGCGCGTGCTCCAACATGAAAATCTCGAGCTCACAAACAAAAAAAAAAAAAAAAACAATTTAAAGTTTCCTAATTACCGCCACAAAAAGAAACGCAAACAATAACAATAGGGGAAAATCCACTTAAAATCCAAATAATTCGAAAGCAGGCGAGCTGCGAAAGAGTTGCAGACTGCCACATCCTGCCTCCTCGTAAATTAAAACGAAATTTAATTACAACAACGCACTGACAATTATAACGGTCATAAATTTTACGAGTGCTCCAGTTTATGCCAAACAATGGTTCGATGATTCTAAGAAATTTATCGCGTATAAGAAAACAAAGCCAACTAACCAACGACCCATTACGGCTGCAGGTTTACTCAACAAAACTTTGGTCCAGTTAACTCAACCCTTCGCTGGTGCGCGAACACTAACACACCAACACTCGAAGGCACATAAATTCACAATTTTTTTTGCTTCACATATCCTTTTGACTTGCATACCAACGCCGCAAGCTTTGTTTGTCTATCTTTCATTAGCAGGTCAAGTAAGCGAATTACGCAGCATCAATTAGCAACGAAGTCTACCGTGGATGCGCAGAGAGCAGTGCAAGGCCATATACTAAATCAAAAAAGAAAATAAAAATGTCCACAAATGTCCATACAAAGGACCAAAAGCAGCGAAAACAATTACGACTAATGTCGATTTGTGTGTGGAGAAGGAGAAAAAAAAAAACAAAAAGAAAGGATTTACAGCGATTTTACGAGGCCGTTGATGTGATCTTAAATGCAAATTTGCATTGTGTAAGACTCACGTGAATGCACGTCCAAGCCATGTGCACTAGAATCCTCATCTAGGCATTGTCTGCATTGTCCCGTCGCAGGAC